GTCGGACATCTTTAGCTCTGCCACAGAGGTGGGAGAGGCTCCTGCCACCTCTGCTGTGCTCGCCAGCTATGAGCCCAGCTCAGGGCTTCTGCTTAAGCTGTGCTCCCCCTGTGGCAGTGCACTGACCACCAGGGGGAAGCTCCTGTGTTGAGCATCTGCCTCCTGATGATGGTCAGTGCACATCATAGGGACCTGTTGTTCAACCGCTCGGTTGATTTGCATATTAGCCTTCTATTATATAGGATTATGTAACCTGTGACTTAAAAATGTTTATTTCCATTCACCACCATCCTTGACAAACATCAGCTTGTTCGCTATATCAGTGGATCTGTATTTGTTTTATTTTATTCATTTATTTTGTTTTTCTAGTTTCCACTTATGAGATCATATGGTATTTGCCCTTCTCTGTCTCACTTATTTAACTAAACATAATGACTTCAAGGTCCATATATGTTGTCACAAATAGCAAGATTTCAATCTTTTTATGGCTTAGTAATATCCTATTGTGTGTATACCACACCTTCTTTATCTTTTATCCATTCACTTATATTTCAACCTTAGGAGTAATGCATCATCTAGGATGACCACCTTAGGTTCTTATAAATTAAATGATCTACTTTCAGCATATGTTTAAACTTTTGATTCTCTTCTTCACAATCAACTACAGTTTTTGCTCCAAAACTAATTTAATGGCAATTTTTTTGTTTTTAAGCAATTCAACTATATCAAGTCATCCAAAGCTTTCAGCTATATATTTACATTAAGGTTTTCTTATTCTACATAATATTCAATTTATATGTATCCCATATAATAAAAGGCTAATACGCAAATAGACTGAACGGTGGGACAACCAAACAACTGATCGCTATGACATATGCTGACCACCAGGGGGCATGCACAGAACATGGTGGGTATTGGCAGCAGGCAGCAGAGTGCAGAACATGGTGGGCATCAGCTGCAGCAGGATGGTGGAGCAGGTGAGAGGGGATGTCAGACTTAGGCAGGGTGCTAGTCACTCATCAGCAGGAGCCTCTGGTGGTTACTGAAAATTCTTTGTGCCAGAGTCCCACCCAGTGTTCCCACCTGCTGCTGGTGCTGGCCCCACTTGCACCCACTGCTGGTGCCAGAGTCACGGCTTGCACCCACTGCCAGAACCCAATGCCAGCCCTGATCACTCAGCACTGTCAGAGGGTGAAAGCAGCAGCTGCCAGCTCTGATTTTCCCTCAGGGCTTCTCCACCTCCACCTGCTCCTGAGGGGTAATCAGGGCTGGCAGCCGCCTCTTGCACCCACTGCTGGTGACAGCACTATTCACGCCCGCTGCCAGCACTGGAGCTGCCACTCGTACCCACAGCCGGTGTCTGGCACCAGTCCCAGTTGCTTGATAGTCTCATCATGTGCGAGCGATGGCTGCTGGTCCTGATCCCCTCTGAGGGCTTCCCCACCACCCCTAGCACATGGCGCTGCTGGCACCAGATCCAATTGCTCCACACCCTCAGCAGGTGCCAGTGATGTCAGCACCATCAGCATGTGGGAGCAGCAGCAGCAGGAGCGGGGCTGCTGACAAACAAGGGGTCAGGAACTTCTGGGAGGGGTCTGGTGGGGGTGCAGAGGATGGGCTGAAACCCACTCCAGTGCCCACTGCACAGCCTTGCAGCCCAGTTCCTTTCAATAGGCATGAATTTGTGCACTAGGCCCCTAGTTTATAATAATAGCCACAATGTCAAAATGGGGTTGAAAAACTAACTCAAGACATATGTAAAGTTCTATCAGTAGGAGTGAAAGGGGGCAGGTGCCCCAAGAGCACCTAAACCTTACAGGTGATGGGGAACAGGAATTAGCAAGCCAATTTATTGGAAGGTGGTTAAAGAAGTTTCTACTTTTGCCCTGGCCAGTGTTCGCAGTGGTTGGAGCATCAGCCCTTACACCAAAGGATTGCAGGTTTGATTAATGGTCAAGAGCATATACCTGTGTTGCAAGTTTGATCCCTGGCTTCAGTCCAGGTGGACGGGGAGGCAACCCATAGGTATCATTCTCTTTCTCTCACTCTCTCTCTCCTCACCTTCCTCACTTTCACTCTCTCTCTTAAAAAAAAAAAAAATCTATGGGAAAACACATCCTTGGGTGAGATTAACAACCACCACAACAAAACGTTTCTACTGTATATCAGTTTTTGTTACTATTACTATTTACATAGAAGAAATATTAGTTTGTTCACATCTTCCTCAACAACTAGAGGAAAGGTTATTTTTGGAAGACCAGTTTGCCTCAATGCACAAATCTCAAATTGGCGAATTATTTTACATTTACTTTCATATAATTTTCATTCATATAAAAGCATTTTTAAAGGTTCTAACAACTTGTTATTGGAAATGCAAGTTTCCTTCAAATTCCTATGAAGGTTTTAAGACAGTATTACTGTCCTCCATGTAATTCATATTTTTCTTTTTGGCATGAAGTTGCTAATGATTACATGTTATCTTTCATCAGTTATCACCTCTTGAAACTCTGATCATTAAACTGACTCTCATTCTTCTCATATGCCTTTGCATCTTCTCCCTCAATTCTTAAATCCCTTTCTCCTAGCAAAAAAATGCTCCGGAGCTCTTAGTATCTCTCTAGTTGTCTCACTGATGCTTCGCATAGTGTCATAGTGACCATGGCTTGATATTCCTTCCCAATATCCTTGGAAAACAATGTTCAGTTTATTTTTGCAAACCTTAACCAAATTTCCAATGATGCTTTGAGTATTTTCATAACTACTACCCAAGCCATACCCTTTGTCGATCTCACAGTGCAGTTTCAGGGGGTTCTGTTGAATTGACACCTTATATATTTTATCCCTTAAATCTTTATATTTATCCTTGGATGTGGTGACCTACACTTTCGGATTTCTACTGAAAGGAGCTTTGTCTGATTTTGAAGCTGCTCCCAAAAGCTAACAAGGACAGTGCCAGTTCCTTTAAGCCTGGTGCTGCCAACACTCCAGGAACTGTTCTTTCATTGATTTGTATTTGTACTTGACTTTGTGCTGTGATTATTTTTAAGCTTGTTACAGATTGCTGGCAGGGAAACCAAGCGATCAATAGTCTTTGTTTATTGTGTATTCGTATATCCATATGCTAATGAACTGATGCCCTGAACTCTATTTGATAAAGGTCAGGCTGTCTCTAATGACTTGTCTAGCAATGGATGTTTGGAATCCAAGCCTTCAGTTTTTAAGGTCCTTAATAGTAAAACCCACTTAAAACCAATGACTGTTGACCTTGAACAGTAAAATAGGCTGCATTTTAAATTAATTTTATGTAAATATTCTAACATCTAAGAATGATACTGCACATCTTAATATTCACTTTTGAGATGGATGATAAACTTACCAATACTAATTATAACACTAATTAAAATTTTCACTATTTTTGCTAAGATCAGCAGCATAGTAGAAGGCAGTTATTTCTATTAAATGTTTCTGTAAGTACATTTGGAGGGCTTACGATGACTCACAGATTGTATATTTTATCTTGACTGACCATCCTGGGACAAACTTTATATCAAGCGGACTCGCTTAGGCAATTTCTCTTCCTCCTCAACCTCTGGGAGAAAAGTATAAATAAATGTCCTTGAAAGTGAGAGAAGGATGAAGTATTTTTTCATTACGAAATCCCAGGAACAAGGTATGTTTTTCAGCTACATACAGCAGCAATTTTCAACCAGTGTGCCGCAGGAGGCACTCTGGTGTGCCACAGAAATTTCTAAAATATTTCTAAACTATTTAGTCAGGGGCTCTGACCTCTTTTCCCTTAGATCCATGGTCAGCAAACTGCAGCTTGAGAGCCACATGTGGCTCTTTGGCCCCTTGCGTATGGCTCTTCACAAAATACCACAGACTGGGCAAATCCATTTTGAAGATATGGTGCTAGAAGAAGTTTAAGTTTAAAAAATTTGGCTCTCAAAAGAAATTTCAATCGTTGTACTGTTGCTATTTGGCTCCGTTGACTAACGCGTTTGCCGACCACTGCCTTAGATTGTCAAGTAAAATTTAAAAAATGACAACAGCTAACACAACGCTGTCCAGTGTGAATGAATCTAAATTATATCTTTTTTTCAGATCTGCAAAAAATACATCTTTTGGTGTGCCGCAGAATTTTAGTTATTAGTTTATGTGTGCCATAGGATGAAAAAGGTTGAAAATCACTGACGTAAGAGGATCATTTGTACTATCAGTTAGAGAGGTAAGGCATGATGACGTCTACATCTGGTATACACACCGATATAAATGCATAAGCATTTAGATCACCAGAGATGCTAACAGAATAAGGAGGCAAGTAAAATACCTCCTGTCACCGCTCACCTATTGCTATGCCTGCAAGAGTGCAGGGAGCAGATAAAAAAAAAAAAAAAAAAAAAAAGAAAACAAGCGCGGAAGAAAAAACCCTGCAGCTCTCTCTTACAATGACTTTTATTGTCCTGTGATGCTTTAGTTCAGCCATACATTTGGCGTCCAGAGGGAGATTACATTTTCAGCAAGCGGTCAGTAGTCATCCTTTCCTGCAAAGTTAGTTCCCCCACCCCGTACCCAGGAGCGATTTGAAAACCCAAACACTGAGCGCCTTCCCAAAGAAAGGAGGCAGCGGGTCCATCACCTCCCAGAGCACGTAGCCAGCCGCCCCGCCCCCAGAACAGCCACGCCCCCTTACTCTCGCCCCGCCCCCTTACTCTCGCCCCGCCCCTCCGCGTAACCCGGATACACACCCACGCTCCCCTTTCACCTCCCGGCAGTTGGCTAACGTGGATGTGAGCCCCGGCTGCACCGTGCCGCCCCGGGGAGCTGGGCACGCGGGACGGCGAAGGTGCGCTGCTCTCAGCCTCTCCCGGGAAGGAGCGATGGGGCGCGCGGGCGCCGGGGGGCGGGCGCCGGTGTAGAGCGCGCGGGTCCCGGCCCGGGAGCACGGCGAGGAGGCCCGTGAAGGCCGCCGCCCGGAGCGCCGGGCCTCCTCGGGCGCCATGGCCCCCATGGGCATCCGCCTGTCCCCGCTGGGGGTGGCCGTGTTCTGCCTGCTGGGGCTCGGCGTGCTCTACCACCTCTACTCGGGCTTCCTGGCCGGCCGCTTCAGCCTCTTCGGCCTGGGCGGCGAGCCGGCGGGCGGCCCGGCGGCGGCGGGCCCGGCGGCCGCGGCGGACGGCGGCTCCGTGGACCTGCGCGAGATGCTGGCCGTGGCGGTGCTGGCCGCCGTGCGCGGGGGCGACGAGGTGAGGCGCGTCCGCGAGAGCAACGTCCTCCACGAGAAGTCCAAGGGGAAGACGCGCGAGGGCGCCGACGACAAGATGACCAGCGGGGACGTGCTGTCCAACCGCAAGATGTTCTACCTGCTCAAGACCGCCTTCCCCACCGTGCAGGTGGGTGGGCGCCGCCGCGGGCGCCGGAGGAGCGGGGGGGCCCGGGGGCGGGGGAGCCTGAGAACGGCCCCATCCCATAGACACCTCCCCACCCATCCCATAGACGCCTTCCCGCAGCCCCGGGACATGGAGTTCCCGCTCCCATTTTACAGATGTGGGTGGTGATGGAGAACGCTGAACTGGAGGTGCCCTGCAAGAGCTGCTGGGTGAGATTGCAGGCAGTGCAAGGGCGAGAGAGAGAGAGAGAGAGAGAGAGAGAGAGAGAGAGAGAGAGAGAGAGAGAGAGAGAGGGAGAGAGAGGGAGAGGGAGAGAGAGAGAGATTGATTTTGAGGCAGTGGGAGGGCCCAGGCCCTCTGGCCCCTTCCTGAGCTTCCTGAGTGTGTGTGTGTGTGTGTGTGTTTTATACATCAAAGGACTGAGCTTCCCCCTACATGTCCTGCCTCTGGCTCCTCTGTCAAATGAAAGGGATTGCACTAGAACCCCCAGGGTCCTCTACCCATCCCTGATTTAATTACTGGGAAAGGTGGTGACTGTATGAACACACGTTTTCTAGCCGACCTACCAGGAATCCATGAAAGGTCAGCAGCTGTGGAGGGGGTGGTGTGGCGCCTGGCCTTTGTGGGATGGATACTTATGATTCATTGTAGTTGTAGTTGTTATCAGGACCCTCTTCATGGGACTTATTTTGAGGGCCCTTCAAGGAACTTTTTGGCAGTATATTTCTTAGCAACTTCATTTCAAATGTCTATCCCTTGTTTACGCCAGGAAATAAGAATTGAAGAACATTTGCTTTTTCTTTGGATAGGTTACTGGTAAGGAATCTTTCTGGTAAGGCATTGCTGTAGTAGGGATATTCAGACATTTTTGGCTACTGGGAAGAAAAATTGTTTCCAGTGGAATTGAAGTAATAAGATCAACAATGAAATCTAACCTGGAGCTTCTTTGGGAGAGAGGCGAGTGTTGTCATTGTAGAATTGCATACCATATGTGACCCTTGTTCTAATCTATCTTATGTTTGTGGTTTTCTTCCTTCCTCTTCCTCTTTCAGTCTTTTTTCCTTAATTTTTTTTCTTAAAATTTTTTGCAGCAATTAACATTGGCATTCATCATGAGCTGCTGAATACCAGATGTAATTCACACAAGAATTCTCAAACAGGTTTCAATTCTTCTTATGCCCTATCCTGCTTTATCAAAGTTTGCATCTCTCTGATCTTCCAAACACAGAGTTCTTCCGTGTGTTGAGTTGGCAGAAGAAACAGGAATTTCATAGTTGTAACAGTAGCAATAGTAACATTTATTGAGCACATTCTAGGTGCCCAGATACTGGCCACACAGGACTTCATTTGATCCTCACAGCAACTGCAGAAGTAAATTTTATTTATGCCCACTTTCCAGATGGGAAATCTGAAGCTCATGGCACTTTACTACACAGTTTATATCATCTTTTAACTCTTCATTTTAGGAGGCTACTTAAAACAGAACTTAACAGTGTGGTCTCCTAGGCCCTAGGACCTAGGGAAATAAAATGGTGCGAGCTGAAAAGCAATAATAGTGAAATATAGTAAGCAGAGTTGAATTTTTTTTTAAGGTAAAGATAAAAGCATTCTTAATATTGGAAATGTAAATCTGTGCATGTGTGTGCACATGCCAACTCCAGCCCACTCCACTTCTGCCAAAGCTTTTGTCTTGGGTAACTTCCACAGGATTCTGAGCTTGCTCAGAATCCATTAGCAAACACTAAGGAAACAGCTGCCAAGGGTAGAGAGCTGCCTTTTATTAAACACTGAACCTAAACTCTCGGAATTGTGGATGTTGAAGTCTCCTTATTTTCTTGGGATTGTGTGAATGTTTGCATGTACTCTTCACTGTTCATTTTGGTTGGTGATTGGTGGAATAGAGGAGGCTATGTTCATTCATACAATGGCAAAATAGGATAGTGTCATGTTGAGCTATCTCCTTTTGTCCTATGTTGTTAGGCTAGAGGCCAGATGTAGCCATCTAAGTGCAGACTCAGCCATAGAGTCTTTTTTCACTCCCTTCCCCCAGCACGCAGAAGTACAGTCTTAATCAAATCCTGCTCAGTTTATTTTCTTAGGGAAAATTAGCATCAAGAGACCACAGATACTCTTTTCTTTTATACTGGTGCCCATGCAAATGGAAAGAGGTCTGTTCTTTTCTCCCACTACTTTCCTGGAGTAAGATATTTGAGCTTTCCTATGTATACACACATATACACTTTATTGATTTTGGAAAGGGAGAGATAGAGATATCAATGATGGAGAGAGAATCACTGATTGGCTGTCTTCTGCATTCTCCCCCCTACCCCCCTGGGGAATTGAGCCCACCACCTGGGCATGTGCCCTGACTGGAATCAAATCAGGGACCCTTCAGGTCATAGGACAAGGGCTCTAGTCACTGAGCCACATTGGCTAGGGTGAGCTTTCCTAATGAAGTTCACCCCTCAGAAAAACAATATAGCATGTCACTTTAGAGCAGTGGTTCTCCACCTTCCTAACGCTGCACCCTTTAACACAGCTCCTCATGTTGTGGTGACTCCCAACCATGAAATTATTTTCCTTGCTACTTCATAACTATAATTTTGCTACTGTTAAGAAATCCTAATGTAAATATCTGTGTTTTCTGATGGCCTTAGGCGACCCTGTCGTGACCCACAGGTTCAGAACTGTTGCTGTAGAGCCAGGGGCATTGACAAGAAAGAGATATTCCATGTTTTAAAAATTCTTGTGGCACACCAGTGTGCCTCCTGCAGCACTCCAGCTGAAAATCACTGCTCCAGAGCACTAACTAAACTGGGGACAATTTTGCCTCTAAGGAACATTTGGCAGTGTCTGGAGATTTTTGGTTCTTACAACTGGGGGTAGAGTGCTATTGACATCCTGTAGGTAAAGGGTAAATAACCCACAATGCATAGAAAAGGAGCCCATAACAAGGCATTACCTGGCCTAATTTTTCAACTTGTGCCCACGTTGAGAAGCCCTACTCATGTTTGTCCTAAGAAAACTCAAGTTTGGCCTAGGGTACCTGGATTTCCTTTTATAGTTAACTTTTTTCATGTTAGTGATCTTTGTTGAATTCTCAGGGCAGCAATTCTCTTCCTAAACACATTGGCATTGTTTGATTTGACTGTGTGAAAATAATAAATGCAGCATTGGTATGAGACAGCGTCTTTTATCCTTGTATATATGATGAAAATGAAGGCTGTAGATTACTGGAGTGGATTTGCAGAGAAACACACAACAGACAAATTTAGATTTATCTTTATGATTTAAAGTAAAGGGAATTCTTTTAAAAATATATATTTTGTATTGATTTCATAAAGGAAGGGAGTTGGAGAGAGATAGAAAACATCAATGATGGGAGAGAATCATTGATAGGCTGCCTCCCTTATGCCCCACATTGGGGGTCGAGTTCGTAACCCGGGTATTCTTTATTTGAGGTGTTCCTGTCCTCATCTCCACTTGTTCAGAATTTTGATAATGATTTAAGATAAAGCATAGTATTCCAAGCTGGTAGGAGCAGCTTGTGTCCATGCCTTCCTGACTTCTAGAATAGGAGTTAAATTCTTTCACCAGGAGTACCCACTAGAAAAGTTGAGAAGTTCTAGTATAGTGCAAAGAACTCTTGCCTTTGACATCTTGTCCAGTCTCCAGCCTATGCCAAATATTAAACTTGTGTTACAGTTTCCTCTCCTTTAAAATTAAGGTAACAATGTGATAATCAGTGTTTCAATAAACATTGCAACCAGAGAAAAAGAAATTCATTGGGATAGGCCCAATAGAGGATTTTACTATAGTAAAATCAAGTAGCCTGATGAGCCTGAATCAGAAGCACATGGAAGAAAGGTAGGCAGGAGCTGTATCATATGCCAGACTCTACAAAGTTTGGACTAGATCTTTAGTTCAGTCCTAGAGTATTAAAAGATTTACCCAACTTTTCTTAAAACTTGCAATGTGCCATACTTTGTTTTGGTTTTGGGCACTTGGAGTGGGTGAGACCAGTCAGGAGACTTTTAAAATACCTGTGTGGGAGATGAGGACCAGAACCTGGGCAATGGGAAAGTTATACTTAGCTTGATTTACCAACTAACATTTATTTAGTTCTAGCAAGCACTGAATTAAGTTTTTATTGCCTCTATTTATTTATTCGACAAAAACAGGAGGTGAGTACTATTACCTCTATTTTGCAGATAAATTGAGACTTGGAGAGGCTAAATAATTTGCCAAAGGATATACAGCTAGAAAGTAATCTTAGGCTCACAGAGATTCACTTAATGATCCCCGAAAATAAGACCTACTTACAGGTTTCCTTCTGAGTGAAATATAAGGCATCCCTCCGAAAATAAGGCCCTCCCCCCCCCCCTGCCCCCCCAGGCTAAACATGAGAGATTTGGATTCTGAAAGAAATGGAGTCACAAGAAATTCACCAGGAAATTCAGGAATTGGATTGTTATGATGATGTTCCAGAAGATGACGGCATGATTGTCATTGAATAAATGAGTAAATTCTTGATACTGTAGGATTCACAGTTTGTCTGGTTTGTGTTGACAACTACCGTACTACCGTACCGTATACAGGTAATAAATTTCCTTTATTTTCACTTAACAATAAATGTGTACCATATTCTTCTTCATGGAAAAATAAGACATCACCTGAAATAAGACCTAGCGCATCTTTGGGAGCAAAAATTAATATAAGACACTGTCTTATTTTCGGGGAAACGGTATCATATCAGATCTGTCTGATTCTATATATAAGGTACTCTAAGAGGTATAACTACAGTGTACTCTTAAATTATAGTTTTGAATGATTGGAAGGACTCAGGGTAGATGTTTGAAGAATAGTAGAGGTGGTAGACCATTTAGGAGGCTTTTTCAAGTGAGCGACGATACATTTTGAATTAGAGTTATGATTGTAGACAAGTTAGATGTAGAAGGATATGAGAAAATTTTTGCGATGTGTCAAAAAAGACTCTGGTTTTGCTAGTGGTGAAAGGGATAACAAATACTAGAGGGCAGATTAAGTGTTATCTTAGACTTAAGTTAGAGGTGCCTTGTATGTTCAAGGGAATATGTTAAGGAGATAGTTAAATATGAGTCTGAAGCTATTGATATTTCTGAATTAGAAATATAAATTTGTGAGTCATAAATGTGATATTGATTGAAACCAGCTGTGGACAGGATTGCTTAATGAAAGAAAATTGTGTGAAAGGGGAAGATGAGTACCTACAACCAAGGACAACAAAGTCTGAAAATCCTTCATAAATAAAAGCCTAATATGCTAAGTGTCCAATTGTCCAGTCATCCATTCAACCAATCAAAGTGTAGTATGCTAATGATATGCTGAGGCCACTCAACTGCTCACTATGATGAGCACTGACCACCAGGGGGCAGATGCTCTGACTGGTAGGTTAGCTGGGGTCTGGCTGATCAGGATTGAATGAGATGGGCTGGACATGCCCTGGAGCCTTCCTGCGGTCTCCGCCTGGCTAACCTCCTGCGTCCCTCTCCAGCCCTGATAGTGCACCAGTGGGGTCTCTCAGCCTGGTCTGCACCCTCTTGCAATCCAGGACTCCTCAGAGGATGTGGGAGAGCTGGTTTTGATCTGGTCCCGCTCAGTGCAGGAGCTGTTCCCTGGTGGTCAGTGTGCTCCCACAGGGTGAGCAATGCTCAGCCAGAAGCCGGGCTCACAGCTAGTGAGCGGAAAAGGAGTGGTACCTCCACAGCAGCCAGACATCCCCCGAGGATTCCGAACAGTGAGAGGATGCAAGCCAGGCTGAGTGTGTGCCCCCCCCCCCTTCACCCCCCACCCCAGTGCATGAATTTCGTGCACTGGGCCTCTAGACACTTAATAGTAGCAGCCAACTTTTACTAAATGCTTACTCTGTGTTAAGTACTATACTGTTTGTTTTACCTTTTCTATTCCATTGAATTATACAAAGAACCCTGTAGAGAGAGATATTTGTCATCCATTTTTATCACTTGGTAACTGGTGCTCAGAAAGATTATTTATAGAGATATAATAGTTTATAGAAAAAGACTTCTGAAAAGGGAGAAGAATAAGATAGGTAGAGCAGTGTTTATCCATTTAGAAAATAGTTATTGAATTCCTACTGTGTCATAGGTACAGCTTGAGACAATATATTTAAAAATTTATTAAGATTTAATGTTTTATGTAAATGGTACCTTCTTAAGGTATTAACCAAAAGCCTCTTTAACCCCAAAGTAATGGAATTGTCATGTAAATAACATTAATTGTGTTTTGAATTCTTGATTTCTTCTTTTTATTCAATTCCCTGTTAAGACTAGGACAAGATAGGCAGTAGAGATGAGGGAGGGAGAGTAGATTGAGTAGAATGGTTATGGAGAAGAAATGAAACTACATTAGTGAAGGATAATGTTGTCAATCAAGAAGTATTTAGCACCTATTATTAAGGCACTGGAGGCAGTGGAGATGGAGCTGCAGTAATGAAGGAACTGTGTCTGAACACACGGATCTTATGTTGTAGTAGGTCAAGATAGATACTTAACATGGTAACAAATAAGTGACTTATATTGATAAGAAATAAAAGTAAGAACATTTGGGGAGAGTGATTTGAAGAAATATAAGTAAGAACATGTGGGAAGAGTGATTGGGGGATCATGCTTTGGCCATGGGTAGTGGTGGAAGGCCACTCTAAGGCACGGTCCTTTGAGCTGAGAACTGAGTGATAAGAAGCAGACCATCATGCAGAGATTTGGTAAAATGAGCAAAAGAGTGCAAGTACAAAGGCCTTGAGGCCAAGGGACAGGTGAGTCTGGAATGTAGTAAATAAGAGTGCAAATAGACAAAGGTCACAGATCATCCAGGCCTTACCTTGTAGATGATAGTAAGCAGCCTGGATTTTGTCTCTGTGTAATGAGAAATTATTGGAAGGTTTTAAGTAGGGAGTAATATAATTAGTCTCATTTAGGTAGATGGCAGGTAGCTAGGTTGAGAAAGAAAGCTCCAAAAAAGCAGTCATTTTTGTCTCTTTTGTACATTATTATATCTTAGTACCCAAAAGAGTTTAGCTTGTGTAGTCATTAAATAGTTGATGAATGAATGAATCTGAGAATACACTGTAGGAGACAGAGCAATCAATGGCTATTCTAGGAATCCAAATATGGATAGATAGTGATTTAAACCAGAATTTATTTATTTATTTATTTTTTTTTTTTGTATACTGTACATGATTTAGTCTGTGGTTTTTGCATGGTGATACAAAGTACTGTAGAGTGATGTCTGCGAGATAGCAGGAATTCTCTACTGACATTCCCTCACAGAACACAGATTTTGGCGGTAATCTTTCTGGAAATCTGAGAGTCCAGCAGAAAACTTATAGCACACCAATGAGGCAAAGAAAAAAAAGAAAACCCACAGCAAGAATAAATGCATTAATGTTTTTGCTAATCTTAGGTACATTTATTTCTAGATAATTTATTTTTGTTAGTATAAATGGGTTTTTTATGTTAAATGTTTTTAATATTTCTTGCTAGTATATAAAAATGTAGTTGATTGATAATGATTCACATCGTACCAAGCTACTTAATTTTGTTCTATAATATTGCCACAAATTTTTTTGAATTTTTTCAGAAATCAGATATCAGTTACATATTTTGCTGCTCTCCCCTTCCCTCATCTGTCTTAGCTTTCTATAATGGCTAGGACTCTGCACATTATTAATAGTGGTTTTGATGGAGGACAACCGACTGTCCTTCCTGCAGGGTTCTTCAGCTTCTGGCTTCCATTCCTGTCTGACCTCAGACCTCATCTTTAGCTCCCTTCTTCGTTCACTTGCTCTAGCCATGTTTGCCTCCTTGCTTTACTCTGAATATACCAGGCACACACTCATTGTAGGACTGTTGGATTTTTTTATTCCATGGGCTGCAGTGTGTGCCTTTTACATACTTGCTAGTCTCACATCCTTTAGATTTTCACTCTTATACCACCTTTTCAGTCTTGCCTTTTTTAGCTACCCCGTCTTGTAAAAACAAATTAACAACTTCATTGCAGCATATTTTACATATGATATTATTTGCTCATTTCAAATGTCCAATTCAGTAGTTTTTGGTGAATAGGCCAAATTGTGCAACCATTGTCATTAATCAGTTTTAGAAAAATGTCATCACCCCAAAAATAACCCTGTGCCCATTTACTGCGAATCCCGTCCTACCCTCTGTCCCAGGCAACCACTAATACTATCTCCATAGATCTGCCTGTTCTAGACATTTCACATACAATGGAATCATCCAGTATTTAGTCTCTTGTGTCTTCTTTTTTCATTTAGTATAATGTTTTTGGGTTTATCCATGCTATGGAATCACTACCTCATTTCTTTTTATGGCTAAATAATGTTCAATGATATGGATGTACCACATTTGTTCATTCGTCATTTGATGGACATTTGGTAGTTTCCATTTTGGGGCCATTATGAATAATCCTAACCACCCTATCTTAAAGAACAATCCTTTTCTACTCTCTTACACACACTTCTTGTTCTTTCCTATTTTATTTTCTCTAGCATACCACATGCTTATTTATTTATTTTGTATATTGTTTATCTCCTTCAGTAGAATGTAAGCTCCCCAACTTTTGTCTCATGTTGATCAACATCATGAATGTCTGTTATAAAGTAAGAATCAGTAAACATTTGCAAACCAACAAAGGAAAAAATGAGTGGATGAGTTGGATGTTTACACTGTATTAGAAATATTTTATGATTTATGTGGCTTGGAGTTTCAGGAATATTACTATTTTTAACCTCTTCAATGTCAATTTAGGATATTTCAGGGTTCTTTCCAGAGATTGCTGATATCTGTGGGTTTTCACCCTGTATGACTTTGCTCATATACTGTTAGTCTTATAAACACTCTGACTCTGTAGCAATGGGGTCTAGACATGGCATCACATTCAGTGTAACACATTGGTCTACTCTAGAAAAGGAGCTTGTCAGAAAGCACAGTACCCACTTGTTTCTTTGAGGCTTACTTTATATTTTCTATATTTAGAATCTTTGTTTTTGACAACAAGCAAAAGTTTAAATATTGGGAAGTACTTGAAGACAAAATATTGTTGGAATTTCTCTTACAATATAGTTTCATTTTGTAATGAAATGTCTTGAAATTAAAAATATACATATTAATTTACCTACTTTAAATTTATGTGATTTTTGTCTGAAAGGTTTTTAACGATTTCTTTTTTGATGCAGATAAATACAGAAGAACATGTGGATGCAACAGATCAGGAAGTTATTTTATGGGATCGTAAAATTCCTGAGGACATCCTGAAAGAAATAGCCACCCCCAAGGAGGTACCAGCAGAAAGTGTTACTGTCTGGATCGACCCACTCGATGCTACACAGGAGTATACGGGTAATTTTAAAATTTTAAATTGATCTCAAATTTTAGATTGTCATTATATATCAGAAAATCAGAATGAGGGCAGGTAGTATATACATGGTAGTAGATATTTTACCAATCTCAGACAACTTTTCCATTAGATTTTAAGACAGCTAGATTAATGTAGCAGTATCATATGACCCATTTGCACTGGATTGGTTATTCCTCAATGTCTCTTCACCCTACCCCCCCAAACCCCACCAATGTATATTATACTCCTTTTTTAATATGTATATGTTATTTTTAAAAAAAAAATTAATTTCAGAGAGAGAGAAACATCAGTGATGTGAGAGAATCATTGATTGGCTGCCTCCTGCACACTCCTTATTGGGGATTGAGCCTGCAACCCAGAAATGTACCTTGATTAGAAATTGAACTGTGACCTCCTAAATCATAGGTCGATGTTGAATCATTGAGTCATACCTGCTGGGCTGTACATGTCATAATATATAGTGAGCTTACCCCTTTTGCAGAGAAGGTTATTTTTTAAATTTAATAATAAAATTAAAAATAATTTTAATATTTAAAGATGAGTACTTAGTGTCTGTAATTTACAGATGAGGAAACTGAATTTAAATAATTTGCCCAAAGAAATGCACCTGATAAAATGATAATCTGGTTGACTAGCCCAGGTAATTTGCTTATAAAACCAAAACTCAACTACTTCCTTAAACTGGTTCTTATTAGCTAGCTAAACTCTGAGAGGATTGTTGACTGTGAAAGACATTTTATAAAATGTACATAAATTTTTAATGAAGTAAATTATAACATTATATCCTGAATTTATATGTTACTTTAACAATTGTGTTTGTTTCTCATAGAGGATCTTCGAAAGTATGTCACTACTATGGTTTGTGTGGCTGTATATGGTAAACCTGTCCTAGGAGTAATACATAAGCCATTTTCGGAATATACAGGTAAGAAATATGTTAGAGCAAGAGCTGATGTTATAATATCATTTGTCTATAGTGCTTATCATCCTGTTAGAATCTCAGCTGTAGCTCTGTAATTATTAGAGTCAGTCCCCTCCCCTACCTCACCCCTTTGCTGTATACAGTAAGGATTTTATTGTTGGTCCTCAGAGTACATGACAAAGCAGACTGTCTAAACTAGGATAGACAATGTGTAATAAAGATGAGAGATTCTTAGTGTATTGAGGAATACAATAATATGGACTCCCCAGTAGCTGAGGTCCAGGACTCTAACACATTGGATTCTGTGTATTCTGAGATCCACCCTGAACAAAATCTGTTGTCATATCAGAAAATGAGCTTGATCTTGTGGTGGTTAAGGGCATAGTGGCATTATGGTACTTAAGGGCAATATCAACCTCAACATAAAAAATAGATGGTGTCATTGTGAAAATCTCAATAGCAGTACTAATACACTTAATATAGTTTATGAGGGTCACAATTACTGTTAGTATTCCCACTTAGAGATGAGAAACATGAGACTCGGAAAATTGATACAGTCCTCAAGCTCATCCAGCTAAATTAAAGGAATTTTGTGCAAATTAGTATAGCACATCACTTTTATAATTATAATCCATGAATACTAACATTTGTATAGTATTTAGTAGTTTGTAATATACTTAATGCTATCTCAGTTCAACTTTTTTATAACTATGTGATAAGGGAAAATGTTATTGTATTTTATAGATGGAAAAGGGGCTTACCAGCTCTTACAATGAAAACCATACGTTTATAATGTTACTGTAAGACCTAACTACTCTTTTTAAATATCTCACATTTGTTTAAGATTTTCAGTTTATGAAATGTATTGACATAAAATCACTTCACCCTTAAAATAACTCTGGAAAGAATGTAAAATAGGAATTACAATGACGGTGAATTTTTTAATTAAAAAAATGTGTATATTAAAGTTAAGTACAGGGCTAAAGTCTTTGAAGCCCTCATTCTTTTGACAGTGTCCCTTATTGCCTCTTCTATATCAGGATTTCCTTTAGCTGCATGTAAAGTAAATCTGATTATAATGGTTAAACAAGTACAAGCTTTATTTTTCTCACCTAATAAGACAGCCAAGAGTGTAGAGATTTTTAGTGGCTTTATAATGCTGTTAAGCTGACTTTTCTGTTTTTGCTGTTTTCTTAGAAGATGGCTTTTTTTTTTATATATACTCAAAGTTTGGCGCTTCCAGTTTGCATAGGTCTATGCTAGGCAGGAAAAAAGAGGAAAGAAGGTACACAAAGGATCTATGCCAGCTAGCCCTTCTTTGTATAAACTTGGCCCTTTCCTTCATCTCATAGACCAGATGTCACATGGCACCCTTAGCTACAAGCTGAGCCTGCTACTTCAAAGAGAATTAGAACTGTAATAAAGGGAATGCAGAGGAAATTGCTATCAGATAGGCAAATAGATTCACATTCTTTGAACCTAGTTTCCACATCTGTTCATTTCAGGGGGAAAAATTGGGATAGGAAACTACCCATGGGGGAAAAATATTTTACAAAAATATGTATTTCTCCTCATAGGCTTATCTAACTCATTAAAATAAGAAAGCCAAGTCTCTAACTTACAGGAATAAGTTGTGTCCCAAAAAAACTCTTTTAAGTTACTAATAAAATGCCCTGTTCTTCTGTGATAAAGCTTTCTTGCCCAGCATACTGGAACATATCTTGCTAGTTAGCAGATACCCAGAATAATCCATAGTCCTTAATTAGGTGTAGGTTGACCTGCTATTCCTGGATCAAAGGTTTGTTTGGTGTGCCTTATTCTTGGACTGTTATTTTCAGATCCAGACTGTATATTGATGTTTACAGAATACCAACTGTCAAATAGTGTGTTTACCAGAATTTAGCAACACCATTATAGTAAATGGGAAGTAGTTATTATTGATGGCAGTTTTTTGTAAAGCTGATAAAAATTCTTACCAGATTTAATTAGGATTAATTCATTGAATTTGAAATTCTTAGAAGCAAGAGATACTTGAGTAGTATTTTAATGAAGTAATTTATAAATGTATAACTGTAGATATCCACACAGTGAAAATTGTAGCTATTAAAACAAGTTATAGCCCTGGCCAGTGTGGCTCAGTTTGATTCCTGATCAGGACACATGTTATTTCTTGCTGGACTTTTATTTATTTTTTTAAAGATATTTTATTGATTTTTTACAGAGGAAGGGAGAGAGATAGAGAGCTAGAAATGTAGATGAGAGAAAAACATCGACCGGCAGCCTTTTGAACACCCCCTACTGGGGATGTGCCTGCAACCAACATACATGCCCTTGACCTGAATCGAACCTGGGACCTTTCAGTCCGCAGACTGACGCTCTACCACTGAGCCAAACCAGTTTCGCCTCTTGCTGGACTTTTAAAAAGCATATCTTACAGAGAGAATAAACACATTCTGTAAGCTGTTATTTTACCTTTTCACCATTTCCTCATTATCACCAGTTAGTATTTAAGTACCTACTGTGTTTTTTAAGGTGATTCATTTTGTCCATAACAGTGTTATGACTGAATGTATTGAATTTATGTAATATGAAATACATTTTTCAAAATACTAAATTAGTAATTTTTATCTAAAAATATTCTGGTATGCCCTAGCTAGCTTGGCACAGCAGTTATAGTGTTGGCTGTAAACAGAAGGGTCCCAGGTTCGATTCCAGTCAAGGGCACATACCATGTTTGCAGGCTCCTCCTCAGCGGAGAAAGGCCCTAGTTAGGGCCTGTGCAGGAGGCAACCAATCACTGTGTTTCTCCCACATTGATATTTCTATCTGTCTCTCCCTCTTCCTTCCACTCTCTAAAATCAATGGAAAAATATCCTCAAGTGAGGATTAAAAAATAAATAAAATAATTCTGGTAGTATCTTCTGATATAATGCTATCTTGATTCTCTTACACAATACTGACCTCTAGAGATATAGCATTGTAAATTCACTTCTTAGTAAAATCATATTTTTGGGTCATTTCTAAAAAAAAAAAAAAAAAAAAAATTAAAGGATTTTTATTTTTTCTTTTCAGTTTTTGAATTTTTTTCTTTTTAAAAATTTTTATTAAGAATAATTTCAAATAAAAAATTGGAATAAATTTTTATATACAGTAGTCTCCCTCTTATTGCAGTTTTATTTTCTGTGATTCAGTTACCTGAGATCAACCACGGTCTAAAAATACTAAATGGAGAATTACAGAAATAAGCAATTCATGAATTTTAAATTGCTCTCCCTTCTGGGTAGTGTGATGAACTCTCATGTTGTCCTGCTCCGTCCCTCCCAGGGTGTGAGTCATGTTAAACTTTTCACATAATAATTTTATCATCTATTAAACATGTAAAATGGGATTTTTTTTCTATATGTAATAGCTAGAATTTCTCTATAAGGGAAATTTCTCTATCAACTGAACTTATATATTTGTCTTGAAATGTTGTTCTTACAAGATAAGCATATAACTCTTTTTCTATACCAGTTTTCATTTAAGGAGTTAGGGTGAAAACTGCCTGCAAGAACAAATGTTGTTTTCAGGTGGAGGGAAAGAGCAAGCTTTTTCCTTTTTTTATATATACTTATGATCTCATGGATATTTGTGTATTCAAGTATGGTTCAAGCTTGAATTATTATTTTTTCAGGTTAAATATGTTTTTTTACACCTTAATATTATATGGTCCCTTTCTTAAGGAATTATCTGTTGGTTCTCTCCTATGAGCAACAGTTAAGTCAGCTTAGTTTTAGCCTTCTTCATGACCACCCACCATTTGTATCTTTTTTTTTAATGTTTATCTTTCTACACTGTTTTTTAACTCTTCAGATTTAAATGGTATCTTTTGAGTTTCCCCAAGCAACTCTGAGATAACATTTACATATTCTTATTCTAATATCTTTTTCCTATCTTTGGTTTCCTCTTATATTTATTAAATTGATTCATTGCTCCCATCTTATGCCCTTTTTTTCTTGGATAATGTAGAAACTGTTGAACTGCTGTGGTATTTGTGTGGGCACATGTTGATTCTTGTTGGCAAAGAGGCTGATAATTGATTTTCTTTCCCTTGGAAAGGGCTGGGTCTTTTTTGCCTGAAATGCCAAAGAGCTTTATCTTTGTAGTCTAATAATAAAGCAATGCTATTTCTCTGACTCAGATATGGCATTCTGGTCAGATGTCTACATAGTATGTCTCTCAGTATGGACAATTAGGTCTTCTTTTATTTCAGGAACATTTTCTTGAATCATAATTTTAAAGATTAGATCTTTCATTATTTTGTTTTTCTTTCTAAGGGACTCCTCAGTATATTTGTTGACTCTTCTTTCTTTGACTTCTGCATCTGTCACTTTCTCTTTCCTTTTATTTGTTTTGGCTTTTTGCTTGTCTCATTGCTTGCTATGCTTTTGGACAAGTCAATTGTCCTTTGTGTATTCTGATTTTGTGTGGAGTCTTAAGTGATTTTGTCTTTTATTTTTCTTTCTTGTGTTATGAGTTCCCATTTTATGTCTTTCTATTGTTTGTTCATCTTGAGTTATTGTTTCATAGTTTTTTACTTTTTTAATGTTTTTGATTTTTAGAGAGAGAGGAAGGAACAAGAATAGAGAGATAGAAACATTGATAAGAGAGAAACATCAATTGACTTGCCTCCTGCATGCTCCCTACTGGGGATCCAGCCTGCAACCCAGGCATGTGCCCTGACTAGGAATCAAACCGGTGACCTCTTGGTTCATGGGTTGATGCTCAACCATTCGGCCACACCAGCCAGGTTCTTTTTTAATTTTGTTTTTTTATTTTTAATCATGTTTGAATGCTGTATTATAGTTTTTTTCCTCTGCTTTGTATAAATTTTCAAGTAGCCTGAAATGCTTTAATCTTTGTTCTCTGTATTTTCTTATATATTTAGGTGGACATTGTGGTTTAACATTTTTTTCATATTTGGCCAGCTACTGTGGAATCATTTGGAAGCTGGTGATTCTCAGTTCAGGAGCTCTTTTCTGTTAGCATGAGGAAGGCATTATTTTTATTATCAGGCATCTTCTCCGTTTTTTACATTTCTTCTTTCTTGTTTGATTCCATCTGGTTTCAACCCTTCCTTCTTGTTAGTTTTATTTGCTGTCTTCCAAATTATCTCTTTTCGGGAGACATCCTAAAATATGTTGTATATCATCCAGTATGTTAGTAAGACTTCACTTTTGGTTTCATGTCTTCTCTAAGCCTCTTCTTGAGAAGGCTAACCCCTATTTTGTAAAACTACTGTTTGGAATTCTCTACTATATTTTAGACGGTCTCTTATTCTTAAAAAAAATAATAATAATAATAATCACTTTGCTTTCTAGTCTGCTTTAGCCTGCTTGAACAATAAGGAAGATAAACTTGGCTGTCTGACCTTGTAGGCCATAGACTAGATATGCCTATACTCTCAGTGCCATGCCAGGTGCATTTTTTAATTGGTTAGAACTGTGTTGTTTTCTAGGCCACCAGCAAGATAACCACTTAGCACACATAGGGCTGGCTCTTCAATAAAAAGGGAGTTCTGCTTATAGCGGGGCTTAGAATTTGAATCCATTTTCACTGAGCCTACTGGTGAATAAAAGTGTGACTCCAAATTCCTCCGAGCATTGCTTGATTTATTCCGGTTTCCTCTGACATTCTCACTCTCTGTTACCAAGTTTCAGGTCTTTTTCCTTCTGGGAATAAATCCTGGCTGACTTTCTGTCACCACTGAGGTCCTCTGACCTCTTGGCACTTTGTGAGCTCCTGCCATGTTCCCCACCCTGGGGTCAGTTGCTGCACTCATTCAGCTATCTCTGGTATTTATTCCCCTTATTATAAATTTGGGCTGATAGCTATCTTCTCTCTGCTCATTATAGGCATCGATTAAGGGAGTTTGTATTAATCTCCTTGTTGCTATGCGGGGGTTTTAGCAAGAAGTGTGAGAAGAGTCCAGGAGACTGTCATCACCCTTGGGAAACTCAGAAACCCAGACTTTTAAATTTTTTTTTTTTTTTTCTGCAGCCAGGAATATGTAGTAATGCAGCTGCTTTCATTGCTAGCCATGGTTGACTATATTTTATACTATAGTGAGTGACCAATAGAACAACAATCTAATTGGGATAATTCTGAGGAAGTTTTGTTTTCTTGTATAGTTTGGTAGACAATGAAGAACACTTCTAAACCAATAAAAATATTTCCAGCCATCTCTGGAGTCTCCCCTCCTTCTTAAAAACTTCTGTTCTTTTTTGAAATCTAGTACCATTGCTTATACTGTTTGACAAAGCAGATATGTAAACCTAACTTACCTCTTTAATAGTTTTAAAATTTAAATTATCTTGTGTAATTGGTTGTGCTTGTGTCATAGGTTGTCACAGGTTGGGTTCTCCAGGAATGAGACTTTGAGAGAGAGATTGGCGTGCAGAATGTTCACTAGGGGCGACTTAGGCTTATGTTTGCGAAGGGAGGGAAGGGAGCTGGCTTGGATGCAAGGAGCAGTTCAGTTGCAGTGAGATCCAGTGAAGACGACTCAGCTGCCACCCCCCAGGAAGCTCTGGAGCTTAGGAGTTCTTAAGCCAAGTGTGTGTTGTGATCTCTGGCTAAGTGGGATTATATGGCCTTTTTTAGCTTTGTTTTAATACATGCCTATTTTAATGTAAATAAATAAATAAATAAATAAATAAATAAACGTAGTACTCTGTCCTCAGGGGGGAAAAAAATAAAGCTTCTGTTTTAGAAAAAAATACAAGTAACTGTGGAAGAGAATTTTCTTAAGTCTCTCGTTACTTTGAATTGAGGATTTTTAAAACTCCAGTGCTATTAACGGATGTTATATTTGCTTTTCAGCTTGGGCAATGGTAGATGGTGGGTCAAATGTGAAAGCCCGCTCTTCCTACAATGAGAAGACCCCAAGGATTGTTGTGTCTCGCTCTCATTCAGGAATGGTCAAACAGGTTGCTCTTCAGACTTTTGGAAACCAGACTACAATTATCCCGGCTGGTGGTGCTGGTATGTTTCTGCTCCCCTTTGATGCCGGTAAAGTGTTCCCAGCATGGTCCAGGCTATGTCAGGAGAAAGATTTGGTTGCCACATGCTTGGGAAGAACATGAGAGTAGTCAGGATACTTTCAAGTAGGCCTGGTCTCCTACTTGGTGATTTCTAGGGTGAGATTTCAGTCATGCATGCTTGCTTGACAGAGACATATCTCTCAGTAGAAACACAATTTCACAATAGTGATTTCTGTTCCTCAAGTAACAAAAGCATCTTATTGTCAGTGATGTACTGTCTGTCAATGGTTGTTTTGTATATGATCTGATTTCAAAATAGTTCTATCAGTTTAACTCAGGGAGAGGAGAAGAAAAGATCCAAGTACATTATGATGTTTCACGTGGTAGAAGGATACCAGAAATATGTGTCGCTACAGTGGCTAATCTCTGGATCATTTTTAACCCCGAAATTCTTTAGCCTGTATGTCTGGGATGAGCCAGTCTAGTGCCCACCTAGTGCATATTCTGTAATATGGCCCATATTATGGGTGAGGGGTCAACTGGCTTTTTCTGGAAGGTAGTATATATTTTAGGCCCTGTAGGCTGCATATGGTCTATATTGCATGCTGGTTTTTATTTTATTTTTTTTTAAAACTACCCTTTCAAAAATATAAAAATCATTTATAGCTTGAGGTCTATATAAAAATAGGCCATTGCCTAAATTTGGCTCATAGGTCATTTGCCCACCCTTGTTTTGAATACTGTTTAGTATCATAAAAGTCTTTTAATTCAAATAAATGGCAAATAATTGTCAGAAACATTTGTGTTTGAAAACCTTTTCAACACAGTACTAAAGAGGAAATAATTGCTTATTAACTTGTAAGCCTATAGTTTAGCTTGTTGGTTACATATATCTGCTTTTCTTGATATGACTTTATTCTTTTTTTAAAGGCTCTTTGTTAGGTTGGTTAAGAAAGGTAATGGCTAAATACTCAGTAAGAATAAGATAAACCAGGTTCTAGACCCAGTTTCTTCTGCAGTTGTCTTAATATTTTATTTTTAAATTCTACCTCATTACATAGAGGACATATGATAGTATTATTTTATATTCTCTTCTTTCAAATCTAGCCTTTCTAGGTATTCAGATGAAACCTGTGGATATTTAGTTTTATCAAAATATTCCATAGAAAACAATATGTCCTGAATGTATTATTTCATAGAAAACAACCACAAAGTAGTTGGAATTTAAAAATTTTAGACATATATTTGGTTATACTTTAGAATAACAAGTTATTTTGCAGTATATTTTTTGTTCACTTAGGTTTAATGTTTGTGCCATTACTTTGCTAAAAAACCCCAGACACCTATTTTGAAATAATTTTAGACTTGGCAGTTGCAAAGGTAGTACAGAGAGCTCCTGCACACCCTGTGCTTTTGTTTTTCATAGTGTGCTCAAAAATCTTTCCAACAGTAACCTAAATTCTTTTTATCTTTTAGGTTATAAAGTTTTAGCGCTCTTGGATGTGCCTGATAAGAATCAAGAAAAAGCTGATGTATACATTCATGTGACATACATCAAAAAGTGGGACATATGTGCTGGCAATGCCATCTTAAAAGCCCTCGGGGGACATATGACTACCCTGAATGGTGAAGAAATCAGTTACACTGGTTCTGACGGCATTGACGGTGGGCTCCTGGCTAGCATCCGAATGAACCACCAAGCTCTGGTCAAAAAACTCCCAGATCTAGAGAAGACGGGACACAAATAAGCAAAGTTGATTATAGATGACAGCTCTTCCAGAGCTGCATGGTCAGCCTGAAATTTGGAAACTTCAAATCATTGGTGGAGACTCTGCATGGTTAAGGCCATCCCGAACTTTTTAAAGTATTTATGAAGCATCAGAGACTTATTTTCCCTGTAATAGGATACAAGATCAGGGGAGATGGGTTGCTTCGTGTCTCAAGTATTGTCTTTATTTTTGAGACTATTTTCGTACAGTTGTCATACACAAGGCGTGCGGGTGTGTGTGTGTGGGGGGGGGGTGTGTGCTCGCGCGCGTGAATTAAAATCTATAGCTGAGTCTACATTGTTATGAGTCACCATTTTCACACAACATCATGAATCTTCACTGTTCGTACTTTCATGTAAAATTGGGCTGAAGAAAATATTAAACATCTATAGGAAATCAATCCTACTTTTTACTTATATCTCATTAAAAACAAAGTATGTTGGGGTTTTTACCCTGAGTTCAGATGGAAAGCACAAGAAGCTACATGTTCGTTAATATGCAGCAAATGTTCTACTTATCTGTTCCTGAATATTTCTTATGGGTTAAATAGAATAAGCTTAAATTGTTTTTTTCTTCGAAATTTTAATAACAGGTTCACCAGCAAGTAGAAAATATAGATACATGGTGGTTGCTTGTAACTTCTTTGTGTGTGTGCTTTGTTTCTACAAAGAAAAATGTGTTTGTACCCAGGGGTTCAGCTTTCCTGGCGTCTTGCCGTTGATTTTGATTTGCACTATATACAGTGCATGATTTCATTCATTCTCTCTTGAACACTTAGTCTTATACGTGTAAGGTTTGGATTAAGATTTCAGGGATAGCATTAGCATTTTAGTATATTTTTTCATTAGGGACATAATATGCTATAAGGCACTATGGAAAAATGGAAACAGTTCTATTAATTGAAAGTTAATTTGACACTATATAAATTGAGCTAGCTTTTATTATTTTCAAAAGCTTTAAGTATTTTTTTAAAAATTTGACAGGTTTGCTCTTATTGAAAATGAGTTATGGTTGCTCTTAGCATTAATAAATGGCTCTAACTTTACCAAATTCTCAAAGCAGTAAATTCTGAGATATTTTATGGTTGTCCTTCAGATTAAAATAATGAAGGTTGGTGTTAATATTTGAAGCATTATTTTTCTATTCAGCATGCGAAATCTGGTTGGAAGAAAGATGGCGTATTCACTGTATCACTAATTGCAACTTTGCTTTGTGAAATATCATTGGGATCTCAGATTTCTCTCATTGTGATGTCTGAAAACTTTATGTATGCAAACAATACCATTGTTTCACGTGACTTCGCTCTCTTTGTGTTCCATAATACACTGATCAAGAGATGGATTTCTCATGATTATTTTGTCTTCCTCCCTCTCCCTTCCCTCCCTTCTTTCTTCCTCTTTTATAACCTTAAAGCAACCTTCCATTTATTGCCTATCTTAGAGATAAAATTGACCTGAGTGGACATCCTCACATGTGGAATGTGCACACAACTTTAGGTTTGGTTATTACACTGTCCAAAGCTCTAATTCCTCATTAGGAAATTGAATTTAGTATGATGCACATGTTTCAACCCAATCTCTAGCAACTGGTAATGAATCTGGGCCTCAATAGATAGGCTTTTGTTCAATCTAAATTTATTCAAGAATTTTTGTAGTTGGAACACTTGATATTTAAACAGGACTTAAGAATGCTGAACAAAATATTGAAGATTGCATATTTTTATTTAGTAGCTGTGAGATGAATCCTTTTTTCTTAGGAGAGATGGCATAGGCATATGCTATTTCCAGAATACCATGGTATAAAAGCATTGTGTCACTGTAATATGTCATACTTAGGGAAATAAGACTGGCATAGTAAGAAATGGAATTGGAGTGGTTTCCTTGCCGCAATATGTGGAAACTTTCTGATTTAATGGAAATAGGAATAGTTTATACAAGCAAGCATGATTGCTTGGTTTTATTTTTAATTGCATTAATTTGCGTGTAGATAATGACTTTGAAGTAATTGTGTGCAAAAATTAAGATATTGACTGACAGTTAAATGTATTATTTTTATAATTTGTTGGATACAGTCTAGTTACTGATTTTTAAGTGCTTTTATTGAAAGTTTATTTAATTTTGTTTCTTAAAGTCAGTATACATTGTAACTACAAAGAACAGTATTGATATTTACATGAGACATCTGTATGCCAGAACATACCAGTCAAACACCTCATGAGTGAGTCATATAATAAATCCCAGAATTATATAAATTATTTCTAAAATGTAGCAAAAACTAGAGTTTACTTTTAGTGACCCCACCTCCCCTCCTCTTGGTCTTCCCTGTCCCTCATTGTTCCCTGTCCCTTAAAATTGAGTTTCATACATTGCAGTCAGTAAGAAGCAGTGGCATGAATAACCTCAGTAGCCATCAGCTGTCCTTTTCCATTGTCTCTTCATTCCTACATCATTCCCTATGTCCCCAGCCCCTTAAAAGTTCTTATATTTCTGCTCTTCTTTCTTAATCAATAGATTCTTCCCAAACCTTATCAAGGAATTCTTTCTTAGACCTATTTCTCTCAAGATTAACTGCTGAAATCTTAACAGTATTACAGACTCCAGTGAGAGATCAATCCTGGTGAAATCCTAGCTGACCGTTAATTTTCACACTCTCCTGATAAAGCAAAGAAAAATCACCTTAAAATAGATCACAGACCTTGATGCTATCAAATCTAACTAACCATGCTTCAGTTTTCACTAAGCAAATCTTCCAACCCTTTCTTCAAAGAAGGAATATGCAGGAAATATGAGTTTGGGTATATAAGCATGCTTGAGAAAACTTGCTTTTTCTATTAGTTTTCATATTTGAATCCTTATTTTAGTTGTGATTATAAGGACCTACAAGATAGGTCATATATGTCCTTGGTATTCAATTGTCCCTTTTCCCCAAAATTTAGTTTTTAAAATTAATATTAAAATGAATTTTTGAAATGGCCTTATAGATACATTCTAGCCAGCTAAAAACAGGCAACTATTTGGATTAGCCTAATGTGCTGTTTGCCCCTGGATGGAAACAATGATTTTTCCTTTTAGATCTTGGTTGAATTTCAGACATATTTCATTATTTTTAGTGTATGCCTATATAAAAAGTCTGTCTTGTAACTGTTTTGTGAAATAAACCTAATCTGTGGTTTCACATTATCCTAAAAAAAAAAAAAAAAAAAAAAAAAAAAAAAAGTTGTGCCTTAACAATAGGGCATTGTATGTTATTAAGGGAAAACAATCTTTTTAACAGATGGGGAAAATAGGGACCTTTTGCCATTAAAATTTAAGTTATTTTCATGTTTTTAATAGTAGAGTTGGGGAAAACTCATTAAAATTACTTTTGCTTAATCTAGCATTTACAACTAAAGTACATTTTTATAACTGGCATCTATCTTGATGTATATAGGTTTGAAATGAAACTTTATCCTTTGGTTTTTAATTTCAGTTAATGTAAAGGCCAGGATAGATTACATTCTTTTAAATTTTTACTGTTAACTCATTTTAGCATGCTATTGTATCTGTTCTGGTCCTGAGTCCCTTTGGTTAAAAAAATATCTATTCTTTGTGCCACATCAGTAATTTATTAATGTTAAAAATATTATATGTTGTGTTACATACCAGAACAGTTCCTAGGTAGAGGAGTATTCTGGTTACCAGTTGCTATGAGGGCAAGAAGAATTAAACTTTGTACTTCAAAAGGAGGTTTTGGTTTTATGAGATGCTCTGTTTTGTAAGTTGCTGATTATATTCTTAAAGCCTGGCAGCTGTTTGTGTTGCAATTTTCCATTGGTAAATGCTTACAGGAAAGCTTTTTCTTTCATTTAATAATTTTTTAAATTTGATGGTAAATTAGTTCTGTGGGAAAATGAGATAGTTTTCCTTTGAGATAATATAAGCCAAACTTTCAGAAGTTAAGGATGATGAATAATAGTAAAACATCTTGTTATATATTGTGTTTGTAAGGGTTCCCAAAGTGTTATAATAAGGTAATTTGTGTAATTGCAGAAGCAGAAGCTGATGTTTGATTATTATGACGTTCTGTTAAAATTCTCTTTGAGGTGTATGTTACACGCATAGTAAATTATTCAAGAAAGATCCTGTATTTTTTTAAATAGGAAATATAGCATCCCAAGTCGTCATTAGATCGAGTAGGCTACAAAGACTTATCTTTCCCTGAGATGAAAACCCCTTCTTCATTTATGTTAAGGAGGGAATGTTTATAGAATTTAATTTATGTACAAAATATGGATTTCAATTTCCATCTATCCTTATGTCCACCATTGGCAGTAGTGAAAGCTAGTTTTATGGACTAATGGGAGAAACCATAATGAACTGGTGCTGCCTTTGTTTCTTTCCCATTTGATGGTGTTACTCAAGCTACTATTATAGATACATATACATACACAAGGGATTGAGTTTACACTAAAACTATGAAATGGCAGTCTTGTATCCCCGCCTCTTTAAACAATTTTTATTTATCATCCTCATTTCCTGTTAATCTCTTTTGTTGATGAAAGTGATTAAAATAAAAATACTTTGAGTACCCTTCCCCTTACACATTTAAAGCTGTAGAGGAACTAGACCACTTCCTGTTGCCAAGACATGCTTAGGCACCAGAGTTTTCTGTATTTGGCATGCTGTACCCTGCCTCACCCACACCACCAAATTTAAGGGTGGAGGGGGTCCCCATTTCAGACTTTAATCTTTACAAAGAAGTAACACTATCTCCCTCCGTGTTTTTAGAGCAGTTTTTTTGTTTTGTTTTTGTTATTGTTCCTTATAACACTAATTTATACATGTGCTGGTGTAAACTTAAGGACAGGGATTATATATTTTTGTGAATTTTCTGTTTCCACTTCAACCCCAACAGCTAGCCCAATGTCTTGAACAAATTAGGTGCTTACTATATGCTGAACTAAATTGAATAAAGGGTTATGACTATCATTAGCATTTCTT